CACAACTGATGGACTGGTAGAGGTTTGGTGTTTGGGGGTTTGGACACAGCGCGAGCTTCAAGACACACGCGAGTTGTTCTGGCCTTGACGTTCTGCCATTAGAGTACATGTACGTGCTGGAATTTAGTGTTAAGAGTGATGATACAACGGATGATGATGACGACGATGATGGCGATGATATCGATGCTGCTGATGATGTTGATGATGAGGACGACGATGATTATCAATTCATTGGTTTCTTTCATCATTCGGTGGTTGTGGTAGCACGGGGTGACAGCAAAGTGCTTGACAGCAGCGCTGTTAGCATTTTTTGAGTGCATTGATGCGTCTGCTCTTAAGGTATCTTCAAGTTCGTTCCTCGATACACTACCGTCTTCCTCCAGGATCGGCGACGGTCTGGGTCTCGGCGGTGTGCAGGGTTGGCATGTTCCTGCGCTGGTCCTGAGCAGTTCCCGGCCACACGGCCATCTGAAGCCTGGAGCCCTCAGCCCCAAATTCTGGAATTCCCTTCCCCGCAACCCAGTAACCACAAATCCGAAGCATGAAATCCGAAACTCGACCTCTAAAGCTCGTTCGCACTGGTCGGATCTGGGCAAGAGCCCCCAGCCGCCCCCCAAAAAAGGGACCCGATATCAACAGCCAGCACTATGTTCAAGATGGCTGGCATCTTTAACAACTTCACAGGCATGTGCTGTAATTGTAGTTGTGTCCTTCGTCTCTCCTTCTTGTCCCTGCTGCGATGATTTGAGCATTTGTGTTCTTCCCTGTATTGCTCTTCTAGCTTTCCCAAGGCCACGCTGAAACCCGTAAGCCTGAAAAAGCTGGTGCTCCAGGCAAAACGTTTCGTGTTTTTGTTCACGTATGTTTTAGAAGGCGTGTGAATCTATAGCACATCGCAGCACTGGCTCTAGCACTTGATTTTTCTCGAAAAGCGAGATTTCGCCGTAGCTACTGCCTTGTAGCTTTCCTGTCTCTGCCTTAGCGCGGAGCCATGTTGCCGGCACAGGTAGTTGTGCCCCTCACCATGGTTCAGTGGGAGCTTGACCAAGCCCCGCCTTCGCCCAGGCCTCCACCTTTGCCTCCGCGGTGGATCCGTCCCCCGGACTTTGCCTTTGCCCCAGCCAGCCTTGCCTTGCATGAGTGGAGCTGGTATGTTGTTACGTTCAGGGAATGCTTCGCCCTGCAGCCACATGAGGGCCAGCCTTTAGAGCCTTGCCTCCAGGAATTCCTGTTTTCCTGGACGGTCTGCCCCCGCATTCTCATTTGCCTGGAAGTCCATGAATGGCTTCCCTTGGTCCTAGCCAATGATGAGTGCCACCAGCTTATGGTTGAAATGCTTTTTTGAGACCTTCAGCCTCTCAGGTAGCCGCCTGGCCCTCAGCCATGGACCTGCAGCCGCCTCACCCATATTTTCTGCCTTTGCGAATCTTGCCGTATCAGTGGCACTGGCCGGGCCTGCTCGATGCCCTGCCACTGCCAGGTTACATGGGACAGCCCAACAGCCCTTGCCTTCAGGACCTCCTGCTGTCAGGTACAGTCGGGCCTCGCATCTTGCTGTTTGCAGGTGGGCCCTCTTGGTTGCCTTTAGCCTTGCTTTCTCAGGAAGCACATGAATACTTGGTATCACATTTGGACATTACCGACTAGCTTTCGCCCAGGTCCGAAGCCTACGCCGCGGATGCCGCCAGAGCCTTCGGGCTCCGCCTGGCTCGGCCCCCGGCCTGCGGAGCCAGACTCCGAGCTGTCACCAGGTGCATCCAGAGCCTCAGCTCAGCCAGCCTTTGCAAAGCCGCAAGCCCCGACCCCCCCTCAGCCCGCTTTCCTGCCTTTGGGGGGTGGTTACCGGAGTTACCACTTTCTCCCTCCTGCCTACTTCGAGCGGTTCGCCCTCTCGCCTGAAGCCTCGGATGCATCTAGCCAAGCTTCCGGCAGTGTTTGGATAGCCCCCCCAAGCCCACCGCTTTCAGGCAGGTCCAGCTCACAGGACTCCAGCCTTGATTCAGCCCTGCCAGGACTGCGATATCGTCATCCGCTGCCTTGGAGCCCTTTTAAGGTTCCCCTGCTTTGGCTCCTTCAGCCACCTCTTTACAAGGTACTTTGGTTTCCCACCAAGGACCTGCGTGAGCCTTTTCTTGGCTGGAGCCTTGAAGGCCTTCTCTTCGGCGTTGCGCCTTGCGCCAATATTTTGCTTTTTCTCAGCTCTCGCCAGGCAGTTGTGAACTTATGCCTTCTAAACAAGGCTTGCCATGATTACGTCGCGGAGCGCATAACCAAGGCCCGAGGATGACACTGCACTTTTGCCTTATACTTCGGGCCCTCAGCAAAATCGCCCTCTGCATGCCCGGGGCCCTACGCCTTGCTCGCTCTCAGGTACCTCCACCGTGCCGGCCGTTGCAGCCTCAGCCAACATAAGCCTACACATAAGCCGCGCCTGTTAAGCCCAGCCGTTTCCTTAAGCCATCCATGAGCCCCTTCCTCCAGCTAGCATTGCTCCTGCGTGCGGCCCCTCCAGGTTTCTTCGAGCCCAGGCCAGCACCTCAGCCCCCGAAGCAGATCCCGGCCTGTGCAAAGATGTTGGTCCGGGCAGGTTTTCGTTGCCCCTCTTGCTTTCAGATTAAGCCTACGTGTCTGCCTGCAGGTCGTCAGCCCTCGGCTCTGCCCTCTGAGTCACCTGCCCTCAGCTCTTCTTCCTGCGACAGCCAACCTGACTCTGCAGACTTCTCCACTTCTACATGAGAGAGGTCATTGCCGCGTCGGGGCCTTGCTTTTTTCATGCCTCTGCGCTATGCCCGGCCACTTGCACTCTGCCCTGCTAGCTTCTTGGCTGAGACAGCATGAGGGGGAACCAGCAGCCCCGCCGCCAGGACCAGCGCGCTCAGCGCTCACCCTGGCCTTCTCTTATGCCAATAGCCCTGCCCTTCAATGGAATCAGGGCCAGCCGACTGCCAATGTCAGCAACCTTTCAGCCATGGGCCGCATGAATGCGGGCCTTTCGGGCCCCCTAGCCTTTGACCCTGACACCAGCTCTGCTTACGATGCCTTGCAACCTCAGCCTTCCACACAGGACTTCAGCCAGGAGCCCACCGACGAGCCGACTGTACAGTCCCTCGCCGACCGCCTCAGATCTCTGGAAGCCCGTATCGGCATCTTGGAAGCCGACCGCCGTGGGGCGCAACAGGCCTTGTGGCACCATAGCCGACGCGCTCATGAGCAAGCGCGCCTTCGATGCCTTCTCTCGCCCTGGGTCTTTATCAGTGCAAAGATAGACGCCGTCAGGATCCGACTGGACCAGACCTACGCCAGGGTTGCCGGCCTTCTTCTGACACTTCAGCAAGCCTTCCCCACTATAGCCGTTTATTTCACCGAAGCAGCCGTAGACGCCTGCCAGTATCACGGCCCTTCAGCCTTGGCGGACTCCGAAGGTGATCCAGAAGCTTAGCCAATCACATACAGCCTTGCTAGCAGGTCAAAAAACTTTGGCAGCCTTTGCTTCAGTTACTTCCTACGAGAGCTTACATGCCGCTCCGGCTCAGGTCCAGCCATCTTCAGGCCAGCCGGTCATTTTCACAAGCACATAGCCTGCCCTCCTTGCCCTCTGTCAGGCCTCCTGCCCTTCGGCCTCTGGACGGTACAGGACCGAGGGAGCACAGAACAACTGCCCATCACTTCCGTTTTGCGTGAGCACTTGCACTGCCTCTTAGCATCTTGTTGCACTGCCTCTCAGCATCTGGTTCACAGTGCCTATGGGAGCTTCCGCACCGTCCAAAGCCATGGCGTCTGACCACGATGCCTTTTCAGAGTGGCTGAAGACGCTTAGCCCAGAGGACAAAGCCAAGCTGCAAGCCTCGCATGCCGCCTCCGCGCAGACGGCAGCCGACACTGCAGTTCATGATGATTCTCGGCCTTGCGATAATCCTTCCAGCCTTTCCCCACGTAGCCTTCTTGTGTACCAGAACCAGGAAGCCTATTACCACGCCCAAGACGGGTGTTTTACAGGCCCTATTCCAGCTTGTTTTGACTACGTTCCGCCTCAGGACGTGGCAGACCTTGATGACGCCGACACAGCACAGCCTTCTCAAGCCGCCACGGCCGAGCCCTCCCAGCCTTTGGTGCAGCCGTCAGTGCCCACAGCCGAGGCCGAAGCGGCTGCAGTCACGGAACAGCCTACAGAAGCCGATGAAGAGTACTTAGCCATGGAAGAGCCGTCCTCGTCAACCGCCCCCTTCCACTCCACGCCACAAGCCGGCCTTTTCTCCATGATGGGGCAACTCATCGACATGTCAGCCATCGTCTCAGCCGCCACCCACCAACAGCCTTTTCTCCTGCTTTTCTTCGATGCCGATGCCCAGCAGAAGCCGCTAAAGCGGCATGAGCTCTGGCAGCTCATTAAGCGCCCAGACCTAGGCGTAGCCAGAAACGCGGGATCCTACCTACCGGCGGACTCGTTTCTGCTCAGCCCTCCACCCTTCTTCCCCTCCTTTCCCAACGCGCCGCACAGCCAGCCTGACAGCGCTCCCATGCCCCACGCCAAGGCCGACCCGCCGCCCGTCAAGGCCGTGCCCCGCGGGAGCCATTCCGCCTCCCACCAAGACGCCGCCCGCATCCAAGCCATCACAGCCCTCGCCCTCCCGGAAAACTGGAAGCCGCCGGCCCAGCAGACCTGCCCGATGCCCACGCCTGCCGCGACCACGGCAGCCAAAGCACACAGCCTGCACCAGAGCCAGCCTCTAGCAGCTCGGGCCACCACATCCGGGAAAATGTCTTTTTCGAGCCGGAGTTCCTAGCCTCCGACCAAGCCGACCTACCCTGGCCCTTACCGACCGCCCAGCCCTTTTGGCCTAGCCGTGATCTGGGACTCTCGGACTTGGAAGATCGACGTCGACTCGCACTTTTATACGGTTGAGCCAGGACAACAGGAGCCTTTGCCCAGCCCTTGCCCTCCTCTGCCGGAATATTTTTCTGCCGATACGGGGGTGATCCGGTAGTGGCACGTCGGCGCCATGGGCAAGGGTAATCCCCGGAACATGGGGAAGCAGTCCGTCCCTACCCTCTGCCTTCAGCAGCTTTCGCGCCTTCCCGAGCCTTTGGTCGACAAGCGGAAAGGAATCATCCTCGATCCGCCCGACAAGCCCTACCAGTACAAGCCGCCGGCCCTGGCCCTGCCGAGATTGCCTTGCCCCAACATGCGGAACTGCATTATTCTCCCCACCTTCGAGCTGGACCCCGCCTTCGCCAGGGTGTACTATATGGGAAGCCGTGGAGAGATGCGCTGCGGCCTTCCCTGCTCAACCGTGCCTTTTTGTCCTTACCATTCAGCCTGTGGCCGCGAAATGCAAGAAGGATCTGTGGAGCACAGGGACAAGCATTCCGGCCATCAGTGTTCGCGCTGTAAAGAATTTACAGACCTTGGCCGAAGCCCTTTTGAACGGTTTGCCGCCGTACCCCCGCAGGCATCCTCGGGGTAGCCGCTTGCCTTAGCAGCCTTACACTCGCCTTTTGCAGCCTTCTTCAAGAATTGTATATCAGGTCAGCCAGCCTTCCTTTTGCTTAGGCTCAGGCAAACGGTAGTTTCGGCCGCGCAGCCAGCCGCCATCGGCTCCAAAAAAGAGTGCTTGCCCTCGGTGCTTGCCGTTTTGCCAAGCACTCAACGGTCTGTCCTTAATGCCTTCTTTTGCAGGACCACCTGGCTCTCAGTGGCGTCCTCAGCTGTTGCTGCGTTCAGTTGTTTCCTATTTCGAATGCCTGCCTTAGCCAATCATGGATCCAGACACAGACCCAGACGACTTAAGCAACCTAGAGTCATGGAGCCCGGTCAACAGCCTTCACAGCCATGCTCAGCAAACTGGGAGATCCTTGCCGGCCCCACTGTGGGCCCTCTCGGGGTTGCTACACCCGGACGACGGGCAACACACTTCCCCTCAGCCAGATCCCCCAGCCGGGAGAGCCTTATGTCGCAGAAACCAGAACAGGCCTTCGTGGCCCGACGTTTCCGGAAAGACTCTTCTGCCTGCGCTTCAACAGTGAACCCTATCCCTGCAGGGCGAGACAGGCACGTCCTCCTGCCACTGCAGTCGGTGCACAAAGCGCGCCCGGGTCTCCGGCGCCCATACGCCCGCCCCGCCGTTCTCAGTTACACAGCCGGATCAAGCCTCGCTCGCTGCAGGTGCCAGTGCCGGTTACGATGTACAGCCGACCACGCTTCCCGCCGGCCCTCAGCAAAGGAGGCCTACACCATCCGCCGGGTCCTCAACCCAGCTGGCGTGCCAGCCTTTTGGGACTCAGCCATCCAGTCTGCAAGCCTCTCCCGCGGCCAGCCCCCGAGAAGCCTTCAGTATGTCCCGCCGCAGCAGCCACTGCCAGCACCTGAGCGGCGCCGCTGGGGCCTAGATTTCACGTTCAAGACCTGCCCGCGCGACCAGCGTCGGCCCCAACCTCGTCCAGGCACACGCGTTTGCCTGACATGGCTCAGCCTGTAGGCCCTGGCGGCAGGCCTACTCAGGTTACCAGGAAAGGCCAGGAGGCCTCCAGGAAAGCCAAAGCCTTGGAGCAGTGGAAGGAACTCCTTCAGCTTCTCGGGGACGCGTCCGACTTGTGGAAGCTAAGTACTCCCCGCAGCTGATCGCACAGAGCATTACGCCTTTCACCGCTGGCACGCTGGAAACATATTTGTCGGCTTGCAGGCAATTCATGGAGTACCTCATCCTCAACAGCCTTGAAATCAGTACGGTTTCAGTTGCTAGCCTTGGAGACTTGCTCTGGGCCTGCCATTCCAGCCTTGAGGAAGATCGAGAGGTGTGCAAGACCGGCCCTAAGCCCATGATCAAAGCCTTATCCTGGCTAGCCAAAACAGCCGGCCTAGCACAGCTGGGGGCGGTGCTGTCGGACCGCCTCATCAGGTCTTTCACATCCCAAGCCGATACAGACAGGAGAGAAGCCTTGCCACTGCCTCTAGCGGTAGTGACAGCCTGGGAGCGCCGCATATGCCAGCCCTCGTGCCCTATAGAACTCTGTCTTCTATTAGGGGGTTTTCTACTCGCCTTGCACGGGGGTTTGCGGTTTGGGGACCTCCAGCGCATCAGCCTCAAGAGCCTATCCCTCACAGGACATAGCCTCAGAGCGGTGTGCTGGCACACAAAAACAACCAAGCGAGGCCAGCCCTTCGCCGTGCGCCTCCATGGAATCTCCGGCCGAGAATTGGCCAGCCTATGGGTGTTGCCCTTCCTCAGGGCCGTACAGACGGTGTGGGAGCGTACAGAGAAGATCTACGGCACAGACAATTGCCCCGATTTCATCCTGCCTACTCTACATAACCTTCGGGGTTTTCCGGGCAAGCCGGCTGCAGCCTACCACCAGCCTATGTCGTACAGCCAAGCACTAGGATGCCTTCGCTTCTTCATGTGCCGAAAACACCTGGAGGGCAACTCCCCGGAGCTCCTCACGCCAGCCGAAGCCTCCGCCTTCACTATGCATAGCCTCAAGGTATGCCTCTTGAGCGCCGGGGCACAGATTCAGGCAGCCGACAAGATCAGACAGCAGCAAGGCCATCACAAGAACCCTAGTGTGCAGCTCTACGGTAGAGACGACACCCTTGGAGCCTTGGCCCTGCAATCTGAAATCACCCAAGCCTGCGCCTTAGGTTGGCGGCCTTCACGACCAATCGCAAGGGGTGGCCAACACCCAACAGTGGAACCGCCCTTTTCCGTTAGCTCTGCCTCGCCTCCCGAGTCATTCCAGCTTTCTGCCCTCGGGAAGGGCATTGACAGATTCATTTAATTACGGGAAGCCGAACTGGAGCAAGCCAGCCTTGATACCCAGCTCGCGGCTGCGGAGACGGCCGATCACCAGCCCTTGCCGACTGAGGCACAACCCGAACAGGGGACAGACGCAGCCTGCAGCCTGCCTCCAACCATACCGGCAGACGACATCGAAGCCTTGCTTGTGGAAAGCTTGGAGGAACAGCCTCCCCCGCCGACATTAGAGGACATAGCCCTCTTCCAGAATGGACCCTGGGGATCTGTTCACGCACAGCCGATGGGAGCAGATAAAGCGGCCTGCGGCAGGCCCCGCTCCACGGCGGCCTTTTGCCCTACATGCCCGAACACGGCCTTTTTCTGCCGCAGAGCGGCTTGCCGCCGCTTGCTGGACGCTCTGCCTTAAGAAAAAATCTCGGGAGCGCGTCCCTGCAGTTGCCAGGCCAGCCTCTTCATTGCCACTCCACAACGCAGCCATTTAGGCTTATCCCCCCCTGCCGCACATAGGTTGCCAGCAAGCATGGCGCTGTTTGAGCAGTCAGAGCTCGCAGCCTTCCTGCAGGCGCAGGGGGTGCACGAAGTAGTCTGCAACGGCCTCGCCCTCAAGGGGCTCGAGACAGTTGAGGACCTGGCATTCGCTTACCCGGACCTTAATAGCTTCGATACTTTCTTGCAGAGCCTTTCCGAATCCGACCTCAGCGACATGGGAGTCTCGGATGCACTGCACTCCGTCCAAGCAGCACGAGCCAGGAAAGCCTTGCGATCAGCGCACAAGGCACAAGAGGGACCCCAGCCTTCACCGACGATGCCATCCCTCACAGCAGCCCTCGCCCCTTCAGCCTCGCCATCATCATGGATGGAGCATTTGCCGCCCAGGCTCAGCTCCGAAGTCGTGCAAGACCTGGTCACGACATTCAAAGCCAACTATCCGGGAGAGCTCCTGGACGATGATACCATGCCCTCAATTCGCCTTCTCAGCCTCGTGCAACATAGCCTTCAGCCAGGAGAAAAGCTTAAGTGGATACCCTGGCAGCTTCGCCTCAGCTCCAAACAGTACTCCGAAATTATGGAGGCCAAGTCATCCAAGCCCATGCGGACGGAAGCCCAGCTACTTGCATCAGCCATATATGACGACACGCCCGAGATGGCCGTGTCCCATCTCCGCCTTTCCGTATCCTGGCTGCAGCGCATTCAAACGGTGTTCAGGAACGCCTGGGCCCTCTGTGGGGCAGCCCACCTGAATAACCTCAAAGCCTTTGACAAGCGAGTCGAGCATTTAGCCGTACCGGACTTAGCCGACTCGTCTCTCCGGGGACCAACAACCCAGGAGCTCCTGGCAGCCGACCGCAAGATTTGGAATACTATCTCCAGCCTTGCGGCCTCTGGGTGGAGCCTTGACGAAGCCCACTATGAGGTCACCAGCATTCGAAGTGACCTAGCCAACTTGCTTCAGCCTAGGCCGCGTCCGCCGCCTACACCGCCAGGCCCTAACCGCCGTCCCAATGGAGGGAATCCGCCACCCCCGCCAAGCAAGAGAATCCGCCTCAATACGCCAACCACAGAGAAAGGCGGCAAAGGCAAAGGCCGTGGCAAAGGCCTTCAGAAGCCCGATAGCCCTTCTAAGTCTGACTCCTGGCCCTCTAACTGGGTTCTCAAGGCCAAAGGCAAAGTGCTCTGCAAGCGTTACCAGCGAAATCTTTGCGCCTTGCCTAATTGCAAATTCGCCCACCTCTGCGCAGTTCGTGGCTGTGGCAAGGAACACTGTGCCGTCGACCATGACAAGAAACCTTCGTGACTAGGACCTGCAACAGACGAAGGGCCGCAGCAGCAGGATCAGCCTTTGCATGCGCCAGTTACCGAAGCCTCAGAGGCGGCAACCATGGACCAGCCCCGGCCAACAGAGAACCCAAGTCATAGCTCTCAGCCTTTGCACCACGCCCCGGACCCGCACAGCAGCCCTCAACCTCACGTGCGCGCGTAGCAACCCCGGCGGGGGTCCTGCTGGTCGGCGCTTTGCCAATCGAGTCTGGACGGCTCGCAGCCAAAGCAAGCCCCGCAAGCCGCCCATAGTTCCCAGCCTTAGGGCCCTAGCGGTTTGCCCCTCCATCCCCATAGGCTCTACCTGCCTGCGTCACCTCCGCGACACCGACGTCTACGCCATTGACCTTGCAAAAGAAGATCCTCAGAAGCTGCCCGACCTCCTACTGCAAGCCATTTGGTCACGGGTGGTCCTTGCGGTCATTGCAGACCTTAGCTCACTGGCCTCTGACATCGACGAAGCCTGCGCATTTCTGCAGGCCATACGCTCCTCAGGAGCCTCGGCCCTCCTCTTCCTACCAGCAGATCACTTCCTCTTCCAAGCGCCGCCCTTTTGCGAGGCAGTCCACGACGGCGGGCTCTGCCCTGAACCGGACTCTGACAGGATCATCCTTGCCACAGCTCCCTTGCCCACCTGGCCCTGCGCAGACCCGGGTTTAGCAGCCACGGAAGCAGCTGGCATGCTGCTAGCCATGCCACTCTCGGCCAAACCCCCGCAACCTCCTACCCTTGCACTAGCCCTACAAAGTCATGCAGAGCTAGCCAGCGACAGGGCACCCATCTGCGACGGAGCCGGTAATGCCAGCTCCGCGGATTGGAGCCGACCTCAGGTAAGCCCCGCAGCCATGCAGGACATCATGCAAGCGTGGCTAAAATGGGCTTCCCAGCGCGACCTGCCCAAGCGAGTCTTCGCGCACCTCTCTCAGAGCAAGCCGGACCACCCTATCCCAGAGGAGGACCAGCTTGAGCTTATTCGAATAGCTTGTGAGGTCATGGACTGGGACTACGACTCTATGACTCAAGCGGCCGACGGCCAGCCCTTTCGCCTTAACCTTATGCAGGCATTTGCCGATCTCCTCAATGACCCAGACAAAGATCTCCCTGCCTTGCTACGGGTCGGAGTGCACACTGGAGTCTTCGACCCCATCGAGCCCTCAGGACTCTGGCCTCTAGCCAAGCTTCAGCCTTTAGCCTCCTCAGGACTGGAGGTCTGCGAAGGCAACTGGAAGCCGGCGGAGGCAGACCCTGACACGGTCCCAAGCCTGCTTGCAGAGGAAGAGGCCTCAGGATGGATTCAGCCAGGCGCATGTGGCCCAAAGGCATAGCCGTTGGTAAGCTCAGCCTTGTTAAAGCAGAAAACCGAGACCCTCGCCTCGTCTTGGACAGCACGGTTTGCCAGGTCAATCCCATGTGTCGCATCCCGGAAGCCGTTGCCATGCCCACAGTCAACGATGTCCGGGCCACCTTCATGCCTTCAGACCCTAGGGGTTCTTTCCTAGCAGCCAGCGTCGACTTCAAGGCAGCCCACAAGAGAGTCAAAGTCCACCGCTCAGAACAGGGGCTGCTCTTATTCATGTTCGAGAAAATCCTTTACAGGTACGTCGTTTGCCATTTTGGAGCCAAGTTTTCAGCCTACTGGTGGCAGCGAGTCGGCGGCCTTATTACACGGATAGCACACCATGCCCTAGCCTTTGCTCCACACAAAGCCTGGCTCTATGTCGATGACCTCCTGTCAGCCCTGCTCCGAGCATTTGCGCCTGAACTCCTGTTTCTGCTCATTGCCACACTCTCCAGCTTGGCCGCCCCGATTAGCTGGAAGAAGGCCTCCGTGGGGGACAGCCTTATATGGTGCGGTTGGCACTTTAATTTTCGCCTTGAAACCGTCGACCTCTGCGAAGCCAAGCGAGCCAAGCTGTGCACTCAGCTCAAAGCCTTGCTAGCACGCAAGAAGGTCCCCAGGAAAGACCTTGAAGCCTGTATAGGCCTACTCATGTGGGCGACAGCCATCAGCAAGGTCCTCAGAGCCCACGTCGCGCCTTTGTACAGCGTCCTTAACAGCCCTCCTGGCAGCAATTGCTCCATATCTCCTCGGATGTGGCCAGCCTTCCTCCATAGCCTTGACTCCAGGGGGGTTGTCTGCAGGCTCGTACCCGGAGTCAATCTGCCGCTCAAAGCCCGCATCATCGAGGTCGGTAGTCGACCAGTGCACTGCAAAGCCGACCTCCCGCCACAGCCTAAATCTTCGGGCCCCACTTGGGTCCGCATCTCGGATCCTACCTGCCCTGAGATCAGGCTTACCAACACTGCCCAGGACAGCCTGCGCTGGCTCCTGCCACGCATTGAAGCCATACCCACAACCAGCCTTTCGCTCCCGCCCCTGGTCTCCTGTCTGGCCAGAGCCGACGCAATGGCCGAAGGGGACCGAGTTGGCATAGGCGGCTGGATTACCACCAAGCACAGCATGGCCTGGTTTGCCGAAGCTTGGACCATGGACGAAGTCCGGCGCACCTGGCCTTTCCTTACCAAGGACGCACAGAAGTACATTGCCTGCTTTGAGACGGTGGCACAGCTGGCACTTGCCATGACAGCCCGAGAACGCCACGCCTTCTCGCAATTCTCGGTCTGCTTGCCATCGCAGAGCGATAACACGCCCTCGGAAGCGGGCATCAACAAGCTTTTTACAACCAGCTGGCCCCTATCGATGTTCCTGCAGTTGATAGCCTCCTGGTCGTCCTGTCATGGTGTAGACCTCCAAGTGTCCCACGTCGCGGGGGCACATAACCAATGGGCAGACGACCTTAGCCGAGGTCGACTGCAAGCCTTCAGTCACCGACCGCAAGAACGCGTCAGGATCAGCCTTGACCGCCTGGCGTCCGCAGCCTCTCAAGCCACCTGGTCCGCCTCGTCGGACAGGGAAAGCCCTTTGTTGCCACGACAGGACTGATTCAGACACCCAAGCCGCGCGGAGAGCAAAAAGCGCAGCCACGCCTTCCGCATGCCAGCCGGGTCAATCACTGCATGCTGACTAGCCGTGTATTACCCGCCTTGCTCAGGTCCAACTCCACCGCCCGCGGTGGGGGATACTTGCCTGCTGCCTTACCGGTTGGATCTGTCCCTGAAGTGGGGGAGTTTATGCCTTGGCTAGCCCTTTAGACCTTGGCACCTCCGGGCTAGCCGCAGAGCCTCACAGATCCAATACGGTATAAAAGATGGCAGCAAGTGATAGAGCAGTGCAAGCCTTTCTAGAACGTTTCGTGTTTTTGTTCACGTATGTTTTAGAAGGCATGTGAATCTATAGCACATCGCAGCACTGGCTCTAGCACTTGATTTTCTCGAAAAGCCCCACCCGCCCACACCTAGGCTTGACGCGTTCGGCCCCGGCCTCAGCCTCCTGCATGGCCGTTCTTCGTTCAGCCTTGAACACACTAAGCTTCACAGCCCGCCACCGAGCCCTCAGCTCCTGCCGGTCCTCCAGCGAGGCCCGCTGCT